TGATGCGAGGGGCTCCTCCAGGTTCAATCTACGCAGTACATCCAAGTGGGTGGGTGCAACAGAATTTGTTTTCCGATTGGATGAGGCATTTCATAAATTTTGTTAAACCAACAAAAGAATGTCCAGTTCTGCTAGTGTTAGATGGCCATTATAGCCACACACGAAACTTAGAAGTTATTCGACTAGCTCGTGAAAATCATATTTCCATTATCTCTTTGCCGCCTCACTCAACTCATAAATTACAACCCCTTGATAAAACATTCATGGGAAGTTTCAAGGCTTATTACAGTGAGGAAATTAGAAATTGGCTTCGTGTTAACCAACGAGCCCTCACACAGTTTGACTTGGCAGAACTTTTAGGTAAAGCCTTTTTAAAATCACAGTGTGCCGAAATAGCTGCTAGTGGTTTTAGGGCGACGGGAATATATCCGTTCAACCGTCACATTTTTTCTGAAGCAGATTTTATATCTGAACGAATTCAGGCTGAGAAAAACTGCAACATTTTGTCTCAAGCCTCGCCTCAAGCGCGGCCTGTCACAACAGAACCCCAGCATGGTACCCCAGAACCTCAGCCAGGATGTTCTTTTTGGGAAGATACAGCTAAATTACAATCACAGGCAACATCTTCGCCGTCAAATTCCAATTTCTCTAGACCATCTGTTCCAGGAATGGAAAATTCCGTTAAATTGGTCTCACCATTTGACATTTCACCTGTACCTTCCGTCACAAAGAAAAATACCACTCGGGGAAGAAAATCAACTAAATCGCAAGTGATCACCTCTTCCCCCTACAAGGATGAGTTAGAGAAATCCTGCACCAACACGCCTAAGAAAGCAAGCACCAAACGACAAGTCTTTTCAAAATCAAAAGCAAAGAAGACAACTAACAAAAAAAGACAGCAAGCAAAAGACAATAAAGTCAGCGACTCTGAGGATGAAAGTCACGAGTTTGTCCCAGACGATGAAGATATGGATATCGACGAAATTGGCAAATCTGTTCCTGACGGCTGTGATGCAGTATGCCTATTTTGTGATGGTCGCTTTTCCGATGACCAGAGAGGAGAGTTATGGATTCAATGCTTCATGTGCAATCAATGGGCTCACGAACAATGTTCAGGTGCCGAAAAAGATGCATATATTTGTGACTTTTGCGTGTAATATGTGGTTTTTAAGTTGAAATGTATTTTCATTTTCATTTTCAGTTTTTTTTATTTGAAAAATATATGTTTTTTCAAATTGTTAGATACCTATCAATTATTTTACTAGGGGGCCCATATTCCACGCAGTCTAATCCAAAAGTAGATCTGTACATAATTTAAGTGTTGACACAAATTCCACCTAAATTTAATTTTTTTGATAATGCCTTTTTAATATACCATAAGGTAAACCTTTAAGCTTGTAGTGTGTAATTTACTGGATATTTATTCGTAACTTTCAAAAATTTATACAAAAAAAACAAATGGGGGGCTCATATTCGGACCACTTCCTCTAGTAATTAATTTACATAGTATGTCTTTTGCATAGTATGTAAACAGAAACTCTGTTTAAGTCTACTGGTGTAAAGCGTATAAGGTATAATAAAGAAAATATTTGTCATAAAAGCGCTTATCAAGATATCATATTGAGAAATCGATATATTGGTACTTTATGTCATGCAGTTTTTCTATTTTCATAAGCCATTCATTTTGTAATGCACAAAAACTTGATTGTCGCGAAATAAATTGTGTTGTGCAGAAGACTTCAGCCCGATAGACAGTAATAAATCAAGAGCTTTAGTTTTTACACAGTTGGGAAGGATTTCGGCTCTTCTTATTTATTTATTTTAGGGCGGGGTATTTGTTTGACTCTTTGCAGGGAGACATGACAAATAAGCTTTTTTCAAAGTACTTTTGTTTGTGGATTTAGGGCCCAGCGTAACGTCAGCAGTCTCTGTGGATATCGATCCACATTTAGCTTTTGTTCTTGAATCGTTCATGCTGATTGTATAATTAGATCTTTTGTTTCTATCCAAAACGGGTTGAAAATAGGAACAAATATGCCGCTTTAAGTTTAACTGTGGGTTAGCACACTTAGCAATTTAAATATTACTAAGAAGATATTTTTAAATTTTGTAAAATATTTAAGAATAACTGTGTTAATCTTCATTGGTTTTTATCGACGAATCCGAATGATATGGCACATAATATGAGGAATTCTACAAAAATTCGCACCTTAACTGGAGCCAAATATGGTGTATTGCAATTTGCTGCCCGTACCCCGCAGTAACAATTTTTTTCTGTAGATTGATACCAAAAAACGTGTTTTCAGGTGCGAGCCTCAAAAAAAGGCAAATTTAAGTTTTTTCCAACAAAAAACTGATTTGTTCGCTAAAGCTATTTCATTCTTCTAGCGATCTGCCTCGAAAAACGAGTGAAAGAGACTTCTATACTTGGAGCACACGTACATATCAGGTACCAATCGCTTCGTCTTAGTCCCCAGATGTAACTCTGACCCTTTGAAGAGCCAAGAAACACCTGCTGAAAGCGTGGCAACCGGTTATTCAGTCACTAAAATCGACGTTTTTTTCATTTTTCAGATAAAACTATCCACTTTATATAACTTTTGAACTTCTAATTTTTAGGAAAAACGCAAAAATACGTCTATTAATATTTGAAAGGGGAGACATTAATTCATATTTAAGTTTGCTGGGAAATGCACCCTATTTTCCTCCGTATCATCCCTTCATTTTTTTTAAATACTTCCTCATTTTTTTATTTGATTTTTGGACTCTTGTCTTTGTACTGATTTTAGAAATGTATAACACATGATGCTTGACATAATCAGTTTATGAGAAAAATAAATATGAAAGCAAGAAAACTGTATTGAAAAAAAAAAATAGATTTTTTAGTAAATTTATTACAAACATTTAGAATAAACATTTCACTATCAAGAATTCTTACAATAATTGTTCAAAATGACCGCCATACAATAGTACAATCTATTTTAAAATCCTTCTCTGACGTTACTTAGCACGTCTGCATTTAATTGTGGACTTTCATCCTCTACTCTTTGTTGCAAATCATCTACATTGAGATTCTGGTGGAGTATTTTTGTTTATAAATACCCCCATAAGAAGAAGTCTAGAGGTGTTAAATCCGGTGACCTAGGTGGCCAATCCATCATCTTTCTTCCACCTATCCAACGACCGGGAAACGTTTCCTTTAAAAATTGTCGCACAGGTGAAGCAAAGGGTGGAGGAGCTCCATCATGTTGAAATACAACCAAATCTTCGGAAAAGTTATCATCATTTTCTACTATTGTTCTAATAAGATCAAGTACTTGTCTAAGTAGTTTAAGATACGATGCACCATTTAAGTCTCCAGTGATAAAGAAAAGTCCGAGAGTGTGATCACCTAGAATACCACACCATACTTTTAACCTTTAAGGATGCTGTGTGTGAAACTCACGTACAATATGGGGATCAATCTCAGCTCAGTATCAGCAATTATGTCTGTTCACCAAGCCATTTAATGAGAATGAGCATTCATCAGAGAAGCAAATATTGTTTAATAATTTATGGTGGATTGTTAATGATGCATTGTGTTATTAATTCGCAAAATTCGAGACGAAGATCAAAATCTTCTTTTTAAATTTATGAGGACTCGGGAGGCTAGAGAAGATGAAACACCGATTGCTTTGCTTATTGTTGACAGTGACTGTGATTGCCCATCCAAGTTAACTTGGATCCAAGTTGCTTCATTATTCCTTGTCGGTTGAATTCCAAGTCCTTGTCGGTTAAATTTTTTATTGACAACTGACCCTGTTACTCTAAATTTCTGCATCAGGCCAATCACATACTTATGAGTTGCATGTCTATTGTGGTGTGTTTCATTAAAAATTCTAGCAGCAGCTTTTGCACAATTATTATTTTTGTAGTATAAACCTACAATTTCGATTCTTTGCACACGTATCAAAATAGGCTGTTACAAGTTATAACAAATTGGCTATAAACAGATTAAAATAAACGCCAAATAATACCGAAAACCTTTGATAAAACTTAATATTATACAAATATTTTAATTAATATACAAATCATAAAACAACAGTTTCTATTTTCCTTTTTACCTAGTTTTTACATTTTAAAGACAGGTTCGTTATCGACTAATCACAAAAAGCAGTAATTTTAGACGTCCAACCTTCAAAATATTTTTTGAACCAAATACTCCCAAAGAATCACATACTTGGATTTAATTAGTTAACAACAAAACATATAGAAAGCATTATAGACGATATCGGGAAGTAATTGGTTAAGTAAATAACCAATTACCTGCTGTAAATTGACTCATTTAAATGAAATAGGTGGATCATTATAATGAATTATTATCACTCAGAAGTTTCTACTAAAGAATCACACCCACATGGAGGCGGAAACTGTCCATGCGCTGATAGAGCGAAAGAAAAAAAAAAGAGCAAAAACAAAAAAAAAACATATTTATGTGTATCACATAATACTTATGTGTACCCCTTTTAAAATTCCTTTATCATCGTTGTTATCAAGATGTAGCAAATTAATTTTTAAAATAATATATATAATAATTTGAATTCCTTTTGCCTCTGCTGAAATAAACTCTTTTGACTCCTCAAACTCTCTTTCACTCTCTTGATCGAATCTCTTTCGAGATGAATTTTCAAACTTTTATCCGTCAGAGAAAGGGTATTTGAGATGGTTAGTATCAGCTTGAGCGTTTTCTGGAAACTGATCTTTTAAATCTTCTAACTTCTGAAGTTGCCTTCGAAGATTTTTTACTGGAAACACGATCACAGGTTTTCTTTGCTTGGATTTATTGTTGATGCGAGATGTAGAAGAGCTTTTTAACCTGGAAGATATCTTCCTTCTACTTCTTCCCAGATTAGTACTATCTGAACTGTCATTCTGATTGGTTTTGTTGTCACTTTGGTAACAATTATCGCTAACTGATGTGTCCAAATCTTAGATCATTACCTGCGTAACATTTCCCATCCTTAACATAACCGCTCTTCAACGCTGGCGTTTTTAGAATGCTTAGGAGTTGGTGGTTTAACCAAGACTTTTTTGTCTCTGTTATTGGAAATGCTCTGCTTAGTCTCAGAACCTGTATTATTGGTAGTGGTGCTCTGTTCTTTTCTTTTTTTCTCTTTTCCATCGTTAGTTTTATTTATGTTTTTAACTTCAAATACTTCTGTTTTAAACATCTGTACTTATCTTCTAATAGTCTTTTTTCAGACCTGAGTTTTTCAAATGTTCTCTCATCTGTCGTATGTTTGCCCCGATCTTGTTCCGACTCCGCTTGTCTCAACTCGGCCATTTTTGATTGATGGGCCTTTCTCAAAACTTGCTCCTCAGCATCAACTTATCTTTTGAATTCTTCTATAATAATGGAGTGGTTCTGCTTCAATTGATCAACATCTGCATTATGTGTAAAAACCAACTCATCACCATTTTTCTTAACCTTTTCAGCTAATTTCTTTTGAGTATCTACTAGTTTTTCCTCATAGTATTTTTCTAATTCGTCTTTCTTATTGTCAAAATTTTCCTTTAATTTTTCTTCCTTAATTTTCTCCTTACATTTTAAAGTCTTCATATTATTAAGTTTTTCATTCACTTTAGTCTTTTCTTCATCTATAGCTGATTTATGTTCTAAATTCCATTCCTCTTTAAACTTCTTCACTTCCTCTTGGATTACTTGATCTTGCTTTATCTTTTTGTCTTCCAAAATTCTTTTCACTTCTTGTTTATGCGACGTTTCTATATCCGATTTAAATTTAAGTATCTCTTTGTTTTTTTTTATTATTAAATATCTTATTTCAGTTGTTCTACTTTCTTCCTAGTCTTTTCTTCTAGCTTCTTAGATTTTTCCACTTTTTTTTTTGATAGACGACTCAGAGTTTTCTCCAAGCTATGGATTTCCTATATAAGGAATATATATATATATATATATATATATATATATATATATATATATATATATATATATTATTTAAAAATATAAGGTCACCGATTAAGTCGTTTTACAAAAAACGATGTACAGGCAAGCATACTAAAAATACTCCTCTAATACGACAACTAAAAATAAACCGTTTTCAGAAGGGATCACGGTTTTTTTTAAATTTATACTAGATAATTGCTTGTTATCGGTTATAATTTATAATTAAGTATTGCATTTATTATTCATTTATATTTATAGCTTGTATTTTTTTTTATTTCGAGAGCGCTAATGAATTATTTTTTTTTTAGGTGGTATGGCACGTGCTGGCATGGCATTAAGAAGAGGAACGAATCAGGGGAATACAGAGTAAGTATTTACTTTAGACTAATTAAATTTATGTAGGATGTAGATCGTAATTAACAAATTGAACAATTTGTAATCCTTTAGAGCAGTGATGTACAGTGATCGATGGATTAAAACAAGAATAATTTTATATATATATATTTTTTTGTATATAATTACAATAAACAATAATTACAAAAGTAAATACATTACTATTTTACGATGAGTTAGGTTTTTAAACTAGCACTAATTTGTTCTCTGCTTATTTGGTGCAAGTGTGAAATGGATTTCAAATTTTTATTAATTAAAGAGTTACGATTTTTCGATGTGTCATCGTATTTATTATGTCAAATTTTGAAAGCCTTAAAGTTCTAAAACGAAAGTTGAAGAAAGGATCCAGGAACATTTATAAGCTAAAAAATAGAGAAGGACATGTTGTATATGAACAACAGGAAATTATAAAAATTTTCGAAGAGTACTATAAAACATTATATCGTCGAGATGCTCACATTCCAGAGGTGGAAATCCACCCATACAAAATCAAGAATCAGAGGAAATGGCATTGTAAGTGAAATGCTAAAATTAGGATGCGAATTCGTTATAAAAGCTTTAAAAACCCTTTATAATACCTGCCTCTTTGAAGGAGTTACACCAGAAAAATGGAATAGTGCCATTATGATAATACTGCACAAAAAAGGAGATGTAACAGAAATTGGAAACTACAGACCTATCGGCTTGTCATCTCATTTATATCAGCTCTTTATGAGAATAATTACTAACAGAGTGGAGCCTAAGCTGGATTTTCACCAACCACTAGAGTAGGCCGGATTTAGGAGTGGCTTTGGATCGAATGACTACCTAAAAGTAATAAAATCCTTAATAGAGAAAGTTACAGAATACAACAAACCATTGATATTAATATTTGTAGATTTTAAGAAAGCGTTTGACTCAGTCCAGCATAGCTCCATGTTAAGAGCTCTTACAGAGTGCAGTATTGATCATAGGACACAACTCTTCTTCGGATAATATATAATAGCGCAACACCTGCAGTTAGAATATATTATGGCAACACAGATACATTTCCCTTCAAGAGGGGTATTAGGCAAGGAGATATCATCTCTCCTAAGCTATTCACCGCTTTGTTGCAGAGTCCTATGAGAAACAATAATTGGGAGAATATTGGAGTCAACATAAATGGAGAGTTTCTAAACAACTTGAGATAGTCCTTATTTTAGACCGGGTAGATCATGCCTGCCAGCTTCTTCAAGACCTTTAAAGCTCGTGTACACGAGTTGGACTTATTTGAAAAAATTTATTTTTCCAAAACACAATATATGAACAACCTTGTACTTACGGAAAAACCGGCTTAGGTTTTTATAAATACCTAAGCCGCTAAATAAATAAAATAGCAACTATAAATTGTGAATAAGTTATGAAATCAACTGGTTTACTCATTATTGTTGTTTTGTACAAAGAACAGACTTACCCTTTGGTTCTATTGATGAAGTTGTAACAGGCTGAGAAATTGGTCGCTGGGCATCACGACGCCGCGGCCTGGGACGCCGAGGCTAACACGGGACCGGTCAAGAGTGGTGTCTTTCGTTCACTTTGTTACGAAGAAGTGCGAATATTGAGGGTTTGAGAGCGTTTCGGACACAAACCACCCTCTGGTTGGATGGTCAACATCTCGTAGGCCGGGCATGCCATAAATCAACCGCTTGTTTCGATCTTTGTATTTGAATCTTTATCTTGAATACAAAGGAAAAAGCCAAATTCTCCGTATTCACAACATCATAAATGAGATATCCAGTTTAAGTTTTATGAGACAACAGACAACAATATATTTCAAAAAGGTCTTTTAAAATACAGCACCAAATTAGATCACATTACAGTACCGTAACAGAAAAAATATTAGCTGTAAAATTATGAAATGAATTCGCACATACTTTCCCAAACAATGGTGTTCAACATCTTTTCGATCGTCAGGACAGTCTTCGTCTACTTCGGACCATGTTAACCAGGTAAAGTCCATTGTTTCGACTGTTGGCCTATGGTGTGTATACCGAAACTCCTTCGGATTCCGCCTAAACACTGATCTAAAGTGATCATACCATTGTGCTTATTGTCCGGAGTGGACAAACACAGGATATGACCCACGGGGTCATTTTGAAATGCGTACTATCTCAGGTATCTTGCGTACCTTTAATTGGCAGTCTGCCAGTACGAGATCGTGAATTTTTGTCACATCTTTTTCCCTTTTTCTAAAATCTGCGGATGCGGCCGATTCCAGACGTGGTGAAAACAAAACTAAGAGTCTGACTAGACTGAAATTTTGACATTTTTAGCTATAGTGGCGCCATCAAGCGGTGAGGCTGACGAATTATCAGTTTCAAGCAGCTGTTGATACGGAAAGGATCTTTGATATTGTACCTAGTGAAGATCAAACTGAAGAAGAAAAAATTTAAACAAAAAGTATATTTTTGACTTTGAGAATGATAGCGGGCTCATAGGGATGGAATAAATATCTATGAAATCTGAAATCATGCGGTATTAACAACAGAGATGAAGGTGATGACGACGTTGTTTCTAATTTAAATATAAAAACAACGGATAGAAATATATTGGTGCCATTAATATTTGAACACAAACCAATTGGACGTTGACCTTTAGAAAGACCTCCCAAAACATAAACATATAGCAACAATCGTCACAGGAAAGAAAAATACTTCTTAGCCTTTTATTTAATTATTCAGGGAAAATTTCTATCAAAATATTGCTGAAAGTTTAATAAACCTTACTTATTAGATTGCTTTATCGGTTAGAATATTTTTAAGATCAATGTGTCCAATTTGGGCTATTACACGTACACCTGATGAAAAACGTGAAATTGACAGTAATTGAGGTTATTCATACTATTTAAGAACAATTTTTAATGTACATAAATATCCTAAATAGTTTGCGTGCTTGACACTAGAAAACCAAGAAAGGGCCGCATATTAGAGCCAGTAAACCGGCCTTTTCATTTCTGCTCCATCGCACTTAAGTGGTAGGGATGTTCCGGCGGGACATATGGTCTATCTTAATAATCCCTTTAATATTAATGTTCAATTACTTTAGCGGCTGCTTTACGCACAATTCAGAAATATCTAGACCTTCAACTCAATTAAATATGTAAACTGAGCTCGTTTTTAATCTATACCAAAAAAATCTTTAAAGAAGGGCTATACAATAATATTGTAACAAAATATATACACAGATGATAAATATATCGGACGTCCAGAAAAATAAAACATACACTGACACAGTCCAAATGAGAGATCCATGAAGATAAAAAATATTATGGTTTAAAAATTCAGAAAAATATACACTTCAATATACACATATACATCTGAAAAAATATAACCGCATAGCCAACAATTATTATAACTTAGCTCTTCTAACAAACAGCTGAGAGATTATCTCTAGTGGATGAGTTCAATTAGCCTGAACGCATGGGTTAAGCTCAACAAATAAATATAAGCATCATCATTGTATCTAATGTATCGAGACAATTCCTTGTACTGATATGTAAGTATTCTTATATTATTAAATATAAAATTGGCTCATGTAACTGATGCATCAGTCAACATTAGAATAAAGCTGGTATATTTGAAAGACACTTTTCTTTTCATAACTGACTATTTTATATAACCCTTAAACGCACAACAATATGTAAGTTCCATGTATGTCCAAGGGTGACTTAAAAAGTGTCCACTTCGAAAATTGCCAATAGATTTATTGACAGTTGTTACAAATGTGAGAAATGAACTAAACTTAAGAAATTTATGCTTAGTAAACACTGCATTTTATGAAATATCAATATAGACGATCTACAAACCGTATGAAACTAACAAACTATTAAAAAAACTGTCTAAAATAAGAAGA